TACACTAAAAATAGGAGCCTTATATAAAACCGTCAAATCTGATACAATAAAAATAGGAGCCTTATATAAAACCGTCAAAAACTGATACACTAAAAATAGGAGCCTTATATAAAACTGTCAAAAACTGATACACTAAAAATAGGAGCCTTATATAAAACCGTCAAAAACTGATACACTAAAAATAGGAGCCTTATATAAAACCGTCAAAAACTGATACACTAAAAATAGGAGCCTTATATAAAACTGTCAAAAACTGATACACTAAAAATATAGCCTTCTATTTTATAAATGCAAGTTATTTTAAGTACACCAGAGACTTAGCGGTAAGTCTTATGGCTTATAACGCTGAAAATCGGATTTCGATACCCGTGGTGGGCACAACAAAGATAACCCATCGTGTAACTTTGCGCTTAACAATAACCAGACAATCAAATAAAATCAAGTACATCATGCTTATATGCGCGAACCATGTACCAAGGAGTGTCAAGAAGAACGTACTGTTTACCTATGAAATACATTTGTATTTGATTTCAGTCACCAAACTGAGCACACACTTTAATTGTATAATAGTGTGGTTGAGTGAACTTTAATTCCACGTTTTTATAATTTGGAGCAAAATTAATTTATTTCATACGTTCAACAAAATTCATTTTTAAGCCAGACAACTTAGGTTTATTACACTTTCATAAAGGTAGATAATCATTATGGGATGGCTGTAATGTTAACTTCAAGTGTTATGTAAAGTCCAGAGATTGGTGAGATTCTAGTAATCTACTTTGTTTTTATTTTTATAATTATGTTCTGTTTGTTTGTAAGGAGCAAATACCTTCCGAAATCTGGCTGCGGCGACAAATGGTAGAGAGCTCATTTTTGTTCTTCATTAATTTAATCATTTTTTACATGTGGTGTCATACTTCTGCAGAAACTTCTTTTAATAAGCACAGTTTATTCTTCTCACGTTGTAGTTTTTAGCTTAGATTCATAGCTATGTCTGCCTTTTATGTGCAATGCTTTTAGAATTTGGCCTGGTTGTCTGAAAGTTGTTTTAAATTTACTATAACTGTTATGTAATATTTATAAACATATATATTAATAAATATTACATGGAAATTGTGTGGGTAAGCAGTATGTCTGCGGGCTTACAACGCTAGAAACCGGGTTTCGATACCCGTGGTGGGCAGAGCACAGATAGCCCATTGTGT